AAAAAAAAAAAAAAAAAAAAAAAAAAAAAAAAAAAAAAAAAAAAGCTCAGACAGTATGCTTTCTGACACGAAGCAAGGAGACACACACTGTGAAAAATCAGCTTTGCCCAGCATTCAATGTCTCCATACCAGAGATTCTCATGGCCAACATCTTGGCAGTGTGTGGCTGGGATTGGGGGGGGGGAAGGTAACCGTTACTCCAAGAATTCTGTTTTGCTGTGTCCCCCTCTGTCTGCTTCTGTTCCCCTTCGTTTTGCTCTGTCCCCCTCAATTCTCTGTCCTATTCTCTGTGCCCCTACATCTTGGCCTGTCTTCCTTGAGGCAAAGTCACCAGGTCTCCTGGGTTTTTGTAGCGGTTTTGACGGGCTCTCCCTCTTATTGCAGCAAGCCTGTGCATGTCTAACAAAACCTCAGTGGAATCCTGGGAGGTTTTGTCCTTAGGACTCTTCTGAGAACCAAGCCTGGCTTTAACTGGGGTGTATTTAAGCGAACTGGTTTGGGAACACAGGGTCCCCATACCAGTGGGGAAGTTATCCCGTGAGTGAGCCTGCCCTCTGTCACCCCGAAGCACCTCCTGGGCTCAGAAGGAAGGCTTCTCCACACTGAGCTTAGTGCCCAGGGTCACCGGTGCCCAGCCTACAGTTTGCACAGAGCCCAGAACACTCTCAGCTGTGTGTTTTCCTTTTCTAGGAAGGGTTTATTTCAGACCTTCGGAAAGGAGGTGTGCATCACGGGTCACTCGGTAAGAACATGTCCTCAGCTTCCCGTCCCTCCTGTGGGTGAAGGGGGAGACGAGGGCCCTGGGTGTGGCCCTTGTAGAAGCATGTGCTTGTTTGGGTCTCTCTGGTCCCATATCTCTCTGAAGTACCACCTCCTCCCTTCTCATCCCACCTGGGACCAGGCACCCCAGGAAATCCAGAAGCCCCTTCAGTGACTCGCCTTGGTTACCAGCTCCTTTATCTGTCCCATAGAGAGGGCAGTCACGCCAACACACAGTCAGCACTGTGTAGAAAGCCGCAGGTCAATCAGGGATTAGTCACTTTCTCCTGCTCTAGTTGCCCGAATCTTCCATAGACAGACTTGCTCACAGTGAGGCAACAGTGAGTGGCCAGGATTCTCAAACCCAGCTTGTAGACCCAAGCTGGCAGACTTGTAGCCAGTCTCATCCTGAGCCACAGGTGGGCCTGAGTACCCATCCCTTCCCCTGGGTGCTGTCCTCCGCTCCTGTCAAAATGCCTTTCATGCTTAGTTCTGGCCTGTGTCTTGCTCAGGTGCCAGCTGGTTAATTCTGTCCTGTGTGTTCTGCTCAGGTGTACCCCGGTCTCCACACCACCCTCCAGGAGTACATGTGTTGCCAGTGCTATGCCAGGTTTGGGGGCCACTTGCCCGTGCCCTGGGCTGATGCACTGCTACCATACTGGGTCCCTCTGTCCCTGAGACCACGAAAGCAGGTAACTAAGTGATGTTGTGGAAGGTCGTCACTTAGGGCCAGGGCACATGTCCAGGTCCAGAGCCCATCAGAACCATGGGTGTCCTATGGCTGAACTTTCTGGGGCACAGTTGTGGTTTTAGTTAGGGATTCGACCAACTAGGTAATTACTCTGCACTGAATGAACAGTCCCTGCTCATCTTCCTCCTCTCTCTCCCTTCTTCCTCTTTTGTTTATTTTTCAGTGTGTGTGTGTGTGTGTGTGTACATGTGCCACCATGGTACACCTGTGGAGATCGGAAGATATGTTTGGGGTTGGCTCTTTCCTTCAGTCATGTAGGGTTCAGGGATCAAACTCCTGTCAGACTTTTGACTGTGCACCCTTACCTGCTAAACCATGCCTTTGGCTTGCATAGTTCTTTTGAAATTCATTCGTGTGTTGTGTGTATTAGGTCTGAAGTGTCTTCTCATCTCCCTTGTGCCTGCTTCTCTCCTGTGGGCACCATGCCCACTGAGAGCAGTTCACTAAGTGGCACAGCGCTGACACCCATGGACCAGACCATGCCCTCATCCTTCAGGGCAAAAGGAACTCAGAAAGAGTTTCCTGGACTTGGGTGGAGAGGTAGAAGGGCAGTTACCTCTTGTCCATGCTACAGGCTTCTAGACAGCTCATTTACCACGGACAAGGTGCCAAGGAATTTCTTTGGCATGTGATGTCGAGGCCAGCCTAGTCTGCATAGTGAGTTTCAGGTCAGCCAGGGCTACATAGAAAGACCCTGTCTCAAAACAAAACAAAACCATAAACAAAATAACCAAAAAAAACAAGAAGGATAAAATACCAATAAATAAATTGAAAAAAGAATAGAAAAGACCACACAGCTCCTAATTCTTCCCAAACAGTCCCAGCAAGTACAGACCAAGTACTCAAACACAGGAGCCTGTAATAGCCATTCCCATTCAAACTATCACAAGTACCATGCGTGTTTTGGAATATTTTTTACATTTATTTATTTATTGGGTTGTATATATGTATGTGTGTATGGGGTGCACACGTGCCACGGGGCATTGTAGAAGTCGGAGGACAATTTACAGGAGTCAGCTCTCTTCTCCACTGTGAGTCCCAGGGATCGAACACAGGAGGACAGGGCAGACAGCAGGTGCCCTTGCCTGCTGAGCCATCTTGCTGGTTTCTGTGCCTGGTGCCGTTGGAGATGGAATCCAGGTCCCTGTGCATGCTAGGCAAGCCCTCTCCTAGCTGGGCTGTATCCTACCCTTTTAGAGACAAGGGTTTCCTATGTAGATCAGGCTAGCCTTGAACTCACAAAGACCGGTCTGCTTTCTGAATGCTGCAGTTAAAGGCATGTGCCACCATACCTGGCGCTCCCTCATCTTTTGAACCTTTCTTACTGTCCACTGGCAGGTCTCAAAGATGATGCGATGTTCTATCCCCAGAGCCATAAGGTCATGTCGTTGCCCCTGCCACTGCTTTGGGGGCCGCCTTCCAATGCCCAGGGATAAGGCTGTTATGCCCTATTGGGTGCCCCAGGGGCTGAGGTCACAGAAGAAGGTAAGAAGGGGGCTTGTGAAACAGGGCTGAATGAGAGGTGGGCAGGGGAGGAATCCAAGGGGCCACCTCCTCCCTAGTGGCCATGGCGAGGGCAGCTGAGGACAGAAATTCGTGTCTTGTGGAGGCTGCTGGGAAGTGTAAGCCTCATTCTCTGAGCCTAGTGAGAGGTCACGTGATACACAGACCGCTGCATCTTTTCCTCTTTGCTGTCTCCTCCTCCGTCTTTCTCCCTATTATGCCCTGTGCCCAACCCTATCTCTCTGGAGCTGTCTAGACTCCTTGGAGGTGACTGGTTTCCTTCCTTTGGAGCCATCTGCACCCCATAGCTGCAGTTCTAGGCCAGGATTGGCTGCATCCAGTCTTCCTGCAGCCTAGAGGACCTTCCCAGTATTCTGCCTTCCTAATTAGAAGTCTTTTCCCCCTTTTCTCCTGCCTTCCCACTTTTGGGTTCTCCATCACTGATCAGCAAGTGATCCCCAGCATAAAGAACTCAATCCTGAACCGGGAACTACAATACCCCTTGCCCTGAGGTCTCAAGTCCTGACCATTCCCCCCACACTGTGGATCACCGGATGGCATACTGACCCACTTTCTCATCTCTTAGGTGGTGAAGAGGCTGAAGAACGGCAAAGACACCCCAGGTAACTCCACGCCAGGTGTTACCTCATCCTGCCCTGGAAAGGGGAGGGGCAAGGCCACACAGGTGACACAGTCATCTCTAACCCTTGCCAGGCGTCACTAGCTGCCCGCTGGCTGCCTTTTTACAAACGACACAGGCAGACCACCGGTCTTAGCAGTGACAAGCTGCGGCTGGTGACGTCTAAAGTGGTTTTATTTAAACTATGAACTTCTGTGACTTGTGGTACATAGCGTGTGTGCATGATCACTTTTGCACTGATGTGTATTTCTGATGTGACAGCTCCTGTATAATACACACATGTGTGCAGGCATTATACAGTCATAACAGTGTGTGCATGCTGCACAGTGTGTTCATATGCCCATGCACGTGATCTTGCATGTATGCATTCCCATGTTCATGGTTGATAAACACATTCACATGTTCAGTGTATGCACACACACACTTGGCAGCACACTCACACGTTGGTGATGCGACCCTCAGACACACCGCCACGGCTCAGATCTCTGGGAGAGACAATCTCTTCCCCACATTGCTTATGCTTTTTGAATTGTGTTCTGGACTTGATTTTGAAGTCCAGGCTTTGGTCTGGTGTCAGGTGCTACTCGGCTCTGTGCCAGCGCTGCACAGGGAATCCCGTGTGCAGGACCTGGGCTGGGGACATTGTTCTGAAAAGGCAGGGGCCAGGAGCTTGTGGAAGGGAAGGGCGAGAAGTGCTTGGGAAATGGATAGCCATCTACCAACCTGTTCTTAAATGTGTCAGAACGTCCTGTTCCCAACCCCAGACGCAACACTGTTCCCCGGAGTGCAGATTCTCCCAGCCCTGAAGGCACAGCTTGAAGGCATCAAATTTGAAGCATGGCATTTGTTGGGGACTGCCTGAGAGCACTTATCACTCTCATCAGTGTTGGGAAATGTCACAGCAAACTCTTGGGGTGCCTTGAGCTTGTCTCAGTAGAATAGACGGTGTGGGCTGTCCTTGACGTGCAGCCCTTGCTGTGGGGAGACAGAACTCTGAGTCACAATGACGCTGACCCAATGGACGTGTCCCCAGGACACATGGCTCCTGGAGGATCAGGTCCCAGGAAGCCACACAAAAGGATGTCCTCACATATGTTCAAAGTTGGAACCCTGTAGGGTGCAGAGGGAGGGTTGATAGATATCAAAGCCAGTGTTGTTTTACTCCGGTCATGTCTTCACCTTTTATTTATTTATTTTTTAAGGACTTATCTACTTTTATTTTATGTGTATAAGTGTTTTCATCCCTGCAATGCCCATGGAAAGCCAGAAAAGGGCATCAGATTCTCTAGAAGAGGAGTTACAGATGCTTGTGAGCCATCATGTGGCTGCTGGGAATCGAACCCTGGTCCTCTGGAAGAGAGGACCATCTCTAGTCTCTGAGCTGTTTCTCCAGCTCCTCCAGTCATGCCTTCTAGTTGAAGTGACTTATTATTTTGTTTTCAAGATGAGCTCTTCCTGTGTTGCCCCAGCTGTGTGAACTCCTCTGCTCAAGCCGTCCTCCCTTCTCAGCCTCCCCTGTGGTAGGGATTGCAGGTGCCTCACTGTGTCCCTCAGTTCAGGTGACCTACAGAGTACGTTTGTTAAGCCTCTCACCTGTTCACTATAGGAGACTTCAGAGGCGGGATCAGGACGACAGCCTGTCCACACTTCCCTGCTTTTTCCATCTCAGTGTGATTCATCATTTGGTTTCAAATCCAACGGGTTTCCATTTGAAGTTTTTGTGTGTGTGTGGACTTTTTGCATGCTAAACGATATCCTCAGACACATTTTTATCTTACATTTTTCTCAACGAAGAGGGTTCCACGACTTTCTGCTCTGTACTGTGGTGGGATTTTTTTCCAGAATGAAAGTGTATTTATCATATTGCGTATTAAGAGTGTTTTTGCATTGATACAATTATGATAAAATTAAGGCTTATATTTCTATTAATAGGCAGAGGGAGCTGGAGGCCAGTCTGGTCTACAGAGTGAGTTCTAGGACAGCCAGTGTTACACAGAGAAACCCTGTCTTGAAAACAAGCAAACAAACAAATAAGAAGGAACTGTCTGTTGGGATGCCACCCTGACATAACCTGCCCAGGCTGGGTGGGGCCAGTTCCCCACAGCCTCATAGCCCTCGGTTTCTGGGGACCCCAGCAGGTGTCCTGCCCTGTCCCCAACAGTGCTCCTCTTGCTCCTAGAGTGCTCTCTGGAATCAAGCAGCTGGTATGGCTGTTGGCGGGTCTGTGGGGACCGGCGTCTCCTCCTCAAGTGGCAGCAGCTCCAGGCCCTTTATCAAGATGAGCTGCCCGACCCTCGGGAGGATGAGCTGCCCGACCCTCAGGTGGATGAGGTGCCAGACCCTCAGGAGGATGATCCACCTGCTGGCGGCTTAGGCTTCCTCCTGCCCGTGAGCTTCAATCTTCTGACCCTGCTGCAGGCTGTCCTGAGGGCCATCATGGCCATTCGGTGAGCTGCTGGGGCGTTGAGAAGGGGTGGGTCTGGACTCCTCACTCCCTCTGGAATCTAGAGTCCCTGCCACCAGCATCCTGCCCCAGACTTGTCTTGCGTCCTTTACTGAAAGAGCATTGAGCCCTTGGATGCCACCGCGACAGCACTTGTAAGGCTCTTCCAAGGGGTGTCCTTGACTTCACAGGCTGGCTTGGGGGTAGTGTGCTGGCCCAGCCCCCTGTCCAGCTGGGATGTGTGGAGCCCCGTGAACCTGGCTGCCCCTGTGGCCTGGCAGACACTCAATGGCAGGGAGTCCAGCTCAGAGCCTTTGAAGTAGCTAGGGAGCCCCTCCCCCCAGCTCTACAAAACTGGGTGTTTCCTCCCTTTCTGAGAGTGGGCACTTAAGGTCAGAGGCTCATTGGGGCCCACATCTGGGAATCAGAGTTGCTGCGCTGACCCCAGTCCACTTCCCCAGTTCCTGAGTGTAGAGGGGACACCCCCCCAATCCCCGCTGTGAAGGCTCCTGGCAAGCCCATGCTCAGGACAGAGCCCTCAGCCTGGGGACAGTTCCCAGCACTTGCCTTTCTCTTGGCTTTCTAGCCATTTGTTTTGGGACTGAGGTGGAGTCTTCAGCTACTGTCAAGATCCTCAGCAAGAATGTCAGTCACGATCATGGTCCTCAAGGGGAGCCCTCGGATCAGGAGGGTCTGAGACATTCGTCGTTTCCACACTGATAAGACCTGCACCCACAATCCAGTCGGAACTGGAAGCCACCACTGTGACTGATAACTCAAGGGGACCTGGTGTGAATGTCCAAACAAGTCTGTTGTGAATGCAGCCAATAAATGTTATTTGTGAAACTATCCCGTGCTTTGCCTGTATGCATATCTACATGCATGTCTGCACACCGTGTGTGTGCCTGGGTGCACGTGGAGGCCGGGAGAGGGCATCAGATCCCTGGAACTGCAGCTACAGATGATTGTGAGCCATCTGTGTGGGTATGGGAATTTGAACTCACGTCCTCTGGAAGAAAAGCCAGTGTTTTTAACCACTGAGCCATCTCTCCTGTCCCCAAACCACATTTAAAGAGCTACTCGTGGTTCTACTTTACTAAGGAGAAACTTGGCCTCTGTCTGTGTCCCTGGAGGGAACTCATTTCTACATCTCTTTCCTCTCAAGGATCGACAGGGTTTTATTTAGGTTTGTGTGTGTGTGTGTGTGTTGCTGTTGTTGTGGTGGTTGTTGTTTTGAAACAGAGTCTCTCTCCACATCCCTGACTGTCCTGGGATTCTACTCGCTCAGTAGACCAGGGAGGCCTTGATCTCACAGAGATCCACCTGTCTTTGCCTCTTGAGTGCTGAGATTAAAGGTGTACGGTCAACACACCTGGCCTAAAAGGGTTTTATTTAAGACTTGATCCAGGGTGTTGCCTTTTAATGCCAAATAGTAGCATTTAAAATTGTTTGTGAGGGGCTGGAGAGGTGGCTCAGTGGCTAAGAGCACTGGCTGCTTTCCCGGAGGACCTGGGTTCCTGTTCCTACCACCACATGGCAGCTCACAACTGTCTGTAACTCCAGTTTCAGGGAATCTGACACCTTCATACCAAATGCACATAAAGTTAAATAAATATTTTTAAAAATTGTATGTGAATTGAAACATTTACATTTATTTATATTTTTTAAAAATGTGTGCAGTAACTGTATAGCGCTCTAACTGTGGCGCCTCTCCAGCATCTTGAGTTTTTTCTTCTTCGTTTTGAAACAAGGTTCTCACGTAGACCAGGCTCGCCTCATACCCCTGATTCTCCTGCCCCCCTTTTCCAAGTGCTGGATTTCTAGGCGTGTGACACCATGGTAACCATGAACTAAAAGGTGAATGGGGATATCATTTGCATGATGTAAATAAAAGTCACCACCTTGAAGATCATTTATTCGCTGAACCAGGAGCTCAGGATTTGGCTCTTGGGATCGCCTGTCTCCATCCCCAGGGCTGGGCTTCCTGGTGTGCACGACTGCACCATTTCTTTTTGTGGAAATGCTGGGAATCCGAACTCAGGTCCTAATGCTTGCATGCAAGCACTTTACCCACTGTCTCTCCAGCGCCATTCCAAAGGCTCCCGTAAGAAGCTCTCACCATGCCCTCACCCAGAGGTCCCCTTCTAGCCAAAACCCTCCACAGCCAGGAAACCAGTCTGCTTCGACCTCAGAGCACTGGGTCCCAGCCTTCTACAGGATGCGTGAGTGTGCAGGGACCCGCCTTTCCCCTTGGCAGGTGGCAACTGGCAAGAGCAGCAGCCGCGTTCCCGAAGCCTGGCTTGTACTGTACACAGCAGCTGGGACACTTCTGCTGTGCGAGAGCAGAGCCGAAGTCAGTGGCAGCTTTTGCGCTTGAGGCAACGCAGTGTCCTGGGCCAAGAGCTGAAGGGGACTGCGAGTGAGGCCATCCTCCTGGCAGAGGGTCGGTCAAGGGCTGCCAAGTCTGCGGCCGTCCGGCTCCAGCGGCTCCAGCGGCTCCAGATGCTACCCAACCATACTTGACCGCACAAGTAGATAGTGCCTAGCTCCCAACATGGCGGAGTTGCCACTCAAAGGCAAGTGACAACCACAGGCTCCCTTGGGAGGAATCCGCACCCCCCAGAACTTGACAGTCATCCACCCTTTTTCTCAAGAGTTGGCCGGTGTCTGCCTTCCTTGGGTCTCAGTGGTCACCACACGCTCAGCTTTGGGGAGTAGTCATTAGTCTTTAGGGCATACTCCCTCCTGGATGCCTGAGCTCTGAAGAGTGCATTCATATGCAAGCATCTTACAGACAGTTCTCAAGCCCCTGGCTGCCCTTAGTGAGGAGGCAGGAAAATTCAAGGTCCTTTGGCTGAACAGTGCTGGGGAGGACAGGCTAGCCGAGGAGCCTGGACACCGGGTACTTACTCCCATCTCCTTTAGGAAAAGGGAAAGCTGCAGGAAGAAGGTTCTGGATTGTTCTTTGTACACAGCTGGAGTCTGAATCCCAAAGCTGACAGCTGGTAAGGGCCTCCCTAGTTCCAGATCCCCAAATGTGACTGCATAGGACCCAGGTTCCAACATTCTTACAAAAACAAACAAACAGAAAACTAAAAACAAACAAAACCAAAGCCAAAAACTTGTCAGAGGCCTCATGCAAGTGTCTGACTATAGTGTCCTTTCTGTGGCTTGGGTGACACCGCAGGGCTCCTGGCCCACATGGTGCTCGCCTAGTCACAGCCATGGTGCCTTTGATGACCTTATTTGCTGAGCCCACGTCATCTTCCCCAAGCCCCAGCGTAGAGCATACACTAGCACTCAGTGACAACTTCCTCCAGTGAAGGAATGAGTTCTGGAGCCCCACTCTGCCAGAAGACACCGCACTCAGTTCCTGAAGGTGGCCACACGCCTAGGAGTGGGCTTGGGGAAGTCAGTTGGTATGTGACGGGTCGAGCGTTGTCTGGCGGGAGCCCTTGCAGCCTGCCTTTCTCTCTCTTGCTTTGTGCTGTCTGGGGCCTCCTGTCTGGCCTCCTGTGGCCCACAGGCTTCCCTCACACAGCCCCGCAGTGTGCCTCCACTCCACTGCTGTGTGATTAGAGCTGCAGAGGCTCTGCCGGATCACTGAGGCAGGGCAGAGGCACGCGCTGGCTGTCCATCTTCATTGTAACTAATTCAGTTGCTGTGAGCACCTTTGCTCCTCTCTCCCCCTGACTAGTTCCCAGCATTTTCTGGTTACCTGTGTCTGACTATGGTAACCTAGTCACTAGGAACTGGAAGGGACCGCTTGGGACATCCAGTCCAACCCCTTTATCCACAAACAGGGATGCTGGGTCCAGAGAGTGCTGTGCCCCATCCACGGTCACACTGCTGCCGGCAGCTACAAGGCTTAGCCACAGCTTCTTCTTGTCCAGGCTACTCCCAGGGACCTCCTCCCGGCTTTCCCTTCACGAGGAGACTTTCCATACTCCCTTCCAAAGGAATGGCAGGTGAGCTCATTTAAAAGAGGCTTAGTGGGGAAATGGATGCTCTTCAATCAATTGATGATGTCTGCTTCAAGCCCAGACTGGGTCTGAGAGGTGGGAGTGTCCTGGAGTTTTCAATGCTGTCCAGTGTCTCTCACTGAGCTTGGGGGGTGTCTAAGAGCCCCCCCCCCCCGGAGCAACGGGAGCTTCCTGTTTTCTCCTTTGCCATTTCTAAGAGGAAGAAGCCTTGTTTGAAGACACCATTTTTGTACTGAAACAGCAAACCCTAGGCTGATCCAAGAGCCCTGGAAGGTGCTGGAATTCCAGAGAAGGCCAAGACTGGCATTCCTGAGCATCTCAGCATTGCCAAGCAAGCATGTCCTTTCCAGACATCCCACATGGAAGGAGGAAATGCCAGCCATCACAGCCCTCCAGCTCACGCTTGGGGAACTGGAGATTTTACAGAGCCGGTGAGTGGCCTCAGCTATTGGCTTTACCCTTGTGTTTCGACAAAGGCACAGGCTTTGCATGGGATAGGGGTGGGGTGCTCTGAGTTTGGGGTCCCTTGCCAGAGCCAGGCAGAACTGTCTATGAGAGGTGGTTGTGAAGTGAGGCCTCTTGCTTGTGTGACAGCCTTGGCTTCTGCCCAATCCTTTGACAGCCCCCACTTTGTTCCACAGTATCTACCCCTTCTCCTGCCCCCTCCAATGTACCTGCTCTCCGTTCCTTACAGAAAACATTTTTATTGTCTATGAATGTTTTATTTTTAAATTACATATACTATTTCTTTTATTAAATCTAAGCTCATTCCTAACCATTCAATTCCTTTCTTATTCCTCCGTCTCCTTCCCCTCCAAACTTCATATATGTACTCTGTCCCACACCCCACATCCACTGAGTGCACTGAGTGCTGCCTGTGTGTGCATGAATGACGGGGACCCACTATTACAGGACTTTTTAAGGAGATACCTACGAAATTGTCCTCTGTGGAAGGCAAACCTTGGAAGCTGGCCCTCACCTTCCTTCTGGGAACTCACTTTTGACACGCCCTTGCCTCTCCGTGGAACAGTGGGAGAGAAACAAGGCGGAAGCAGGGTCCACAAAATGCAGCCAGGCCAGGGACTGGTCCATGCCTATGTACAGCTGGAGCAGATTGGTGGGCTGTGGGGGTGAGGATGGAATAAGGGCTGCAAACATCCCCATGATGGCTTCTGACTCCCTCCTACCTCACTCCTGGCTTCCCACTGGCTCCTTGGCCACAGAAGTTCCTGAGCCAGGACACATAATGTCGAGCAAAGTAGAAAAATGGATGATTCCATGTGCACTTCGGGGATGCTCCTGGCCTAGGATTTGAGCATAAGGCTCAGGGCTCTTGCTTCCAGCAGAATGTTAAGCGGGGGTGGAGGGGGGGCTAGAGATTGTTTCCTAGCAGACTCACTAGCTGAGCAGCTCAGGGTCTTGCCAACGTCAGACCCAGAGGTGCAACTATCCACCCAGGCTAAATATGCAGGGCAGACGTCGGGCGACGAGAACATTCCTTTCTGTAGCCCACGCTGTTTGAGGCCCTCAGTGTCTTTTTTTCTAGGTAAGTTTATTTTTCCTGACTGATTTTACTAGATAAACTCTGTCTCAATGGCCAGGAGGGGACTGCTCTCTCTCTG